TTCATGACCTTGATGGTGACGAGCACACTTCACCAATAAAAAAAATTAGCTCATAAGAAAACGGGCTTGGGGCCAAGGTTGAACTCAAGGGGTGTGGATAATAAGTTCTGGCTTCCAGAGCATGATGACGCGCTCATTTCTTATCTTGCAGAATTAGCATTAGATGGGCTAAATCCAGACAAGAACTTCAAGGCAGAAGCTTATAAAATGGCAACGATGAAAATCAATATGCAATTTAGGACTGATTTCACTCATATACATATCATTAACCACTTAAAATGCTTGAGAAACAAATTCAATGACATGAATACTTGCCTTGATATAAGTGAAGCTAGGTAGGATGAAATAAATAAAATGATTTCACTGGATGACGAAACGTTAAAATCATGGTCTCAGGTATAACATTCAGCATCTTCATTGTCATTAGTAATTACTACATTTGGTTCATAACTTATGATTATTTGTTATTACAGGACAAATCCAAATCTAAGTCCAAAGCGTACATAAACAAAAACAAACCCCTCCCTCACTTTAAAAATTTACAAGTGATCATGGGTGATGACCAAGCTAAGGGTGAATTTGTTAGGCCTGTGTATGCTAACAAGCTAAGGGTGAATTTGTTAGGCCTGTGTATGCTAACATTGGGTCTAGTAGGTCCATACCTATTCCTGATGATGATAGTGAGATTTGTTAGGCCTGTGTATGCTAACATTGGGTCTAGTAGGTCCATACCTATTCCTGATGATGATAGTGAGGTTCTAGAGGAGAGTGAGACTACACCACAATCTGATGCTTGTAACAAAAAACAACCACCTAGATATAAGTCTAAGAGTAAAGACAACTTGAATTCATCCTCTAACAAGAAACCTAAAAAATCAAATCATGAAGAGGAAATGTTATGTGCCTTTGTTGACTCAATGTCTCAGTCAATGAGAAATCAACATATTGTTCATTGGACTGAGCAGTTGGCTGCAACATTGAAGGAACATAGGGATGAATATTCTGAGGAACTTCTGGATAGTATTTTAGATCACTTATATGACAATGAACGTGAAGCTAGAAGGTTTTTCATAAAAGGTAAGGAAGGTCAGCAGAGTTACATTACCAACCTGATTAACGACCAAGGTTGGTCTGTTAACTAATTTGTTCGGTTGGTATAACATGTTGATGGAGCATTTTGTTGTGCACGTGTATATGTTATTGCGCATATCTCGTTTTGTTATTTGCAAACTATTAATGTTGCAATACTTCTTATTTTGAAAACGCAAACACATCATGTAATTAATGTATTTGTACTCTTTAACTTTCGATGCAGGTAAGTATGGATTGGAATGACCAATGACTTCTTAATGTTGCCTTTGGGTTTGCTATTGATGATAGGTGAAGCTAATTTGTTGCCCCTTTACTGTGGGTTTTTGGTTGTCAGGTGGAGCTTGTGTAGCTCCTTACCCCTTTGGGTTTGTTGTTGTTTTGTTTTGAGCTTGTGTAGCTCCTTGGCTTTGTGGGGTTTTGGCTGTTATTTGGAGATTGTGTAGCTCCTTGCCTTTTGGGTTTTTTTTACCAGCAGGATTTTGAGCTTGTGCATCTCCTTCACATGGGTTTGTTGAACACATTTGGAGCTTGAGCATGTTTTCGGCTTGTTTTGGGGTTTTGACTTTCAGGTGGAACTTGTTTAGCTCTTTGGCTTTTTATATGTGGAGCTTGTGTAGCTCCTTGCCTTTGGGTTTGTTGTTGTCGGGTTTTGCGCTTGTGTAGCTCCTTGGCCTTGGGGTTTTGGCTGTTATTTTTTTCAAAGTAGCCCTGTTGTTGTCGGGTTTTGAGCTTGTGCAGCTCATGCACATTTGAGTTGGTTGATCGTTGGTTGTTGAGGTAACTTACAATTGATATTTGGCAATGATGATGATTAGCATTTACTAAGAATGCAATCTAACTTACAGTGTTTATTATATTCAGATGAGGCAAAAGGTGATGAGATTGCATTCTACATTGAATTGACAATGTCTAGGCGAGGCAGTCCATCCTTAGAATGCAATCTGTAATAAACCTGTAAGTTATAGGTAGGACATTCAATTTTGACAAGTTGATCTATTCCTGAGCCATACAATATCAACTAGAATTTGTACCTAATTCTAATAACATTTTTCATTACAACATTAATAGTTTTTGCAAGTACAAGTACATGACATGCAGTTTATAATAATTGAAATAATATAAAAATTTGCTAATAAAATTGCTGAAATTTTTCAAGCTAATAGTTGATTTTTGACAAGTCTCAGTTCTTTCTTCATCCACTTTGCTGAGACATTCACTTTGCTTCATTTCCAACAAATTCCACATGCTGCATATTTTTGCTACACCTGAAATAACAAATGCATCCAGTTCCACCTGTCCATAAGAGAGAGAGAGGGAAAAAAGTGGTGTACTGCGGGATGCATATGCGTTAGATTAAAGACTCAGGCAGCCGTTACCGTGCGCACTTCAAATTCATATAAATTCGATGGAAACACAGGTAACAGAAGAAATCCCTTGTTCCCCTTTAAATTGGCTGAGTAAAGGAACTTCTTGATCCCTTGGTCCCCTTTAAATTGACTGAGTAAAGGAACCTTCTTGTCAATCTTACCCGAGTCATCAACTATAAGACCATCTGACAAGGGATAAACACTAAAATTACCCTGCAAATCACCACATATCAGGACCTACAAGAGTACAATTTTCAGTCTACAGAGTAGTTTTCTACCATTTCCAACACGACAACCAAAATAGCTTAGGATTAAGAGTGGATTTTTTACGTGTGAATGACAAATGCTCTGTATCAGTGAACATAAACATTTTAACATAAGAAACATATATTATTTAGTCTTTAGCTTACAAATAGATTAATTGGCAATTATTTCTAGTGATGCAGCAATTATAAAAATAAGCTTCATCAAACCATATATTACATGGGTACGGGTACAGTTACGGGTATCGGTATAGTGTGGGTGTAGGTGTGGGTACTGGACACAACAAATTTATAAAATATAAGGTACCGAAACATGACTTGATATACATTAGAATTTAATAAATTAAATGAGATCAGTAGTATTTTTTTCACATGTTACGAGAATCAGAATTTCTATAATATTTTTACATTTATGTTATTATGTATTATATAGTTGAGTGTCCAATGAGTATCGTGTACAGGTACAGGTATGGGAAGTGTAGCGTATAGGTGTGGCTTGATAAAAGTATCTATGCAACATAGGTCAAACCAGACCAACATGTTCTTTTATTGGTAAATTTATGGTATGGTTTTAGAGTATAGCAAATGACATACATGTGTAGATCCTATGAAACCAAGAGAAGTGTCACATGTTTTCTTCTTTTCTTCCATAACTTGGTTTCAAATGCGTGATATATGACCATCCAGCAAATATAATTAAACCTTTTAGCAAACAGATCATTATTTATATTAGTGAATGCTTCATTAGTAATTGCAATAATTAAAAACAACTAATGAAATTCAATTAATCTATTAAATTGAAGGTGCAATTTGAGTAGAAATCGGTGTACTCACAGGCACTCGATCATTGATATTTTTGCAAGGATATCTTTCGAATCATCAAATCTCTCGTCTGAAAAATCAACGACAAAAAATAAATAACCCAAACACAATGGACTAAATGAAATTTAATGAAGAGGAGCATATCCATTAAAAAAAATTTCTCTAACATATATCATATTCGCTCGAACTCAATTTCGACGGCTCTTTCTCCTCTTAACCTTATAAAACATATATCATATTCGCTCGAACTCAATTTCGACGGCTCTTTCTCCTCTTAACCTTATAAAAACTCCAAGAGAACTCTATCCAAACTATTTTCATCTTTCTCCTCTTAACCTTATAAAAACTCCAAGAGAACTCTATCCAAACTATTTTCATCCGGTTTTTAGTGACTAAATCTAATTTACCTCTTCTTAACTTCATTAATGATGTTTACAGGTTCAAGTTCATCTGTAAACAAAGCCAAGAGTAGTAGAGGTCATCTTATCTACTAGCATAAAGAATAAAAATAAATAAATTTTAAAATTAACATAGAATTCCTAATTAATTAAAAAAACTATGATAAGTTCTGTAATAAAAATAAATTAGAAAATAGATTTAAGATTATTTGAGTCTTAAAATTGGTATATAAAACTTAAGTAGAAATGGTAAGTTCTGGTATACCATTAGAAAAATGAATATGGTTACATGTTCGTAACGCGTATAACTAAAAATGATCTTATCATTGGTCTCTCACCATTTTCTCATCATTTTCACTTTTATCATCATTTTCTCTAAACTAATTAAAGATGAAGCCAAAAACACACAAATATGACATCATATATGCAATAATACAAATAATAACATGTGAACAATTTTAAACGAATATTTAATAAACAAACGAATCGAATATACGCAGATCTGGTCAAATTCTAATCGTTAGCAAACATGAATGTGTTAAATGAACTACCGAATCGGATATGATTGAAAAATTATTTGAACAATTATCGAACTATTTGTTAATTATTTGGTTCATTTGAATAACTACCTGTTAGTGGTTATCTTTAGATTGGTTTTCTTAAAAGTATAAAAATGCGACCAGAAAACTACCCTCTTATATTGCTCATTAATTCCACTAATTTTTGAACAAGCAAGAGGTATTTTCTCTTTTTTTATCGCACATGATAAGTTAGACTTGAGTTGTGAAAAATCTTCAAGAGTTTAATAGAATAAAAGATATTCATAGAAGTTATGTGCAAAACCCTTCAAATTTTGATATTAACTATCTAAATAATATGAAATACCTTTAATTGTGGATTCACTGAGATAAGCCAATAGTAGTAGCACACCTAACTAATTTCATGTATTCTTTACAATCAAGATTGCAGAGAATCCGAGATGTCAAGTTAATAAAGCTTTCATGGCATTAAAAATAGTTCACAGGGTTATGACAGAAATGGCCCAAGTGAAGGAGTAGTTTGTGAAATTTAGCCCTTATTTATTCATATGTCCAGTTTTTTCATAAAAACTTGATTCATACATTCATTGGAAGTAATAAGTATCGGAAACTTGCATCAAACATCCATTCATTTATTAACGAGAAAACTACTAGATTCGTTCTCCAAGCAAATTCAAATTCAGGAAGCATATATCACTTCTCCCTGAAGAAGGGACATGCCTCCAGCGATAAAGTTTCGGCTACAGCCTTCTTGATGGCGGCGCTAGCTAGAGGGGAGCAGGGGGCCCTTGAGAAGGCCACCAAATAACTGTCCTGCATCATAGTAGACTTCCACGTCCTCAACTCTCAAGCTATCATCTACCTGCGTGGAACAAAATAGTATTGGACTACATTTAAAATATTATAGATTTGAAGGACTAATATTAAAATAATTCTTAATTTTTTGTGGGGCCACTCATTAACAATGGGATAATCAATCACTAATGTTTATTTTTTACGATGGACGCATTAGCATTAACGATGGATCGCCAATAAGTATTGGCGACGGAAAAACATTGGCGACGGATTCGATTCGTCGCCAATAAGTATTAGCGACGTATTCGAATCCGTCGCCAATAAGTATTGGCGACGGAACATTGGCGACGGATCGAATCCGTCACCAATACTTATTTGCGACAGATTCGAATCCATCGCCAATAAGTATTGGCGACGGATCTAATCCGTCACCAATACTTATTGGCGACGGATTCAATCCGTCGCCAATGTTTTTCTGTC